ATATCTTAGGATTCCTCGACACGGGGGTCAATTCCTTACTTTTGTTTGTACTTTGCGGAAACCACAAAGTGTTCTCTGGGATTATTCTTCATTCTTCCTTAAACCTTTTTTATTTACTCTGGTGTTTAAATATAAATGTGTGATGATATAAATATTAAGTATATATGATCACAAACACAAAATTTTAGCCTTTTCTCAATATATAACCGATACCTTGTATGCCGAGTGTCAATAACAAAATGCCAGCTTGTGAAAGTTCGTGTAGGACATTGGCATTCCATTGGTTTGTAACAACATAGGGAGTGAATACCATTACACTATCTCGTGATTGTATAGGTGTATGCACTCATAACACATTGACCCGATCAACATACAACAATTCCATCCTACTTCGCCGAAAACAAAAGACAGATGATAGATGCAAAAATAACAGGAAGAGTGTTAAACTAAACGGAATATTCAAAAACAAAAACAAAAAATGCCATTTAAACTGCATCAGCAACACCACAGCAATATCTATATCTAATTATAAAAACCAACCTTCTGAAAGTATCAGCACCACCAACTACAGTTAAAAATTGATAGGAACACTGATTGTCACAGAATTAATAAGACAAAAACAATGTAACAGAAATGGGAAAAACGGAACAGCATCTATCACACAGAAGGGCACTGGAAACATACATGTGTTGAAGCATGGAGTAGATTTGTAGAAAATAGCCATTTTTAACTCCTACTTTGTTACAGGAGACAAACATCTGTCATACAGTATATAACGAGATTAGTGTATACATCACTGACAAAAATAAGGCATGTTTTTAGTTTGGCTATTTATTTACACAAAGTTCAATTAGGTCATTAACACCTGGAGGCAGTAAATGTTGATTTTATGGTCTATAAAGTTCCTTAAGTGTTTTCCCTCAAACATCCTGTCAACATGTTGACAGTGAACAAGAAACTTTTATCGTACAGGTTGACGAAGAACTTTTTATCAATGACAACATTTATGTGGAAATCAATAACAATTTGATTCCAAGACTGCCATTTGTAATAACAGAAATGTAATGGATTGTGAGTTTATTGATGGAACAGATTCCTATCCACATCCTAAACAAAATACCTTATTAAAACAACATTGTGATGGATTATAGTGACTGTTAAAGTCTTGGTCCTGGAATACCGCTCACCCCACGAGTCGGTAACATGATGTTTTAAGCATTAAGTGGGCTTATCAACAGGTATCTCGGTATACCACGTGTACAACACAATATTGTGATAACAACTTATGGTACATACCAACAAACCAAGGAGTTTCACTATCTAGGGTCCATGTCCGTCAGGCATGTATTACTGGCCAACACGATGTATCAATTAATTCGGGACATGTTTAATACACAATGACCACCACAGAGTCTCATCTCACTGGGGTTAGTATGTATAAGTTTTTTCCAAAGACTGACCACCACAGAGTCTCATCTCACTGGTGTCAGTATGTATAAGGTATTCCAAATACTTAACACCACAGAGTCTCATCTCACTGGGGTCAGTATGTATAAGGTATTCCAAAGGCTGACCACCACAGAGTCTCATCTCACTGGGGTCATTATGTATAAGGTATTCCAAAGGCTGACCACCACAGAGTCTCATCTCACTGGGGTCAGTATGTATAAGGTATTCCAAAGACTGACCACCACAGAGTCTCATCTCACTGGGGTTAGTATGTATAAGGTATTCCAAAGGCTGACCACCACAGAGTCTCATCTCACTGGGGTCATTATGTATAAGGTATTCCAAAGACTGACCACCACAGAGTCTCATCTCATAGGGTCCATGTAAATTGGACATGTTTTACAAAGACGGACCTCAAGGAAGTCTCACCACTTATTGTCTATTGCACATGTTTGATCCAGGCTGATTTAATCATGGTTTGCTAAAATCATTGACTATTTTCTATAAAGATGCATAATAATCTGACAAATGTCATAAACCTGATTTGATACAACAAATATGCACTGAACATCCTGAAATTGAAATTAATAAGATAAAGAAGAATTTCGAAAGTGATAAATTTATCAAAAAAAACCTATCATCAAAAATATCAAACTCAGTCAACTGTGATGTAATTTCAATATTGATATTTCATGTACTGCACACTTATACATGTAGGTGTGTATTTGCTATCATTTGTCCTCGTTCAACATTGTCACAGTTACGTAAGAGCCAGTCCTTAAATACGAAATAAACGAGGACGATCAAGTGTGTTGTCACATACCTGTTTCACTCTTGTCTAAATCTCCTGAAATGGATATCACCAAGATCATATTTAACACGATGTATGTAATAGGTGATTCTAGAGCTAGTATCTAATTAGATTCATGTGATGTTAACATTTTGGAGAATTAGATAATATCTGAGAAACACGTCTTTATTTACATAACAATTATCTGGCTGTGGTCCTATACGACGACAATCCTCTACTACTTTTCAATTTACTTTAAGAAATATGTAATTGGGAGTTTGTCTATAAAATCTGACAATTCTTTCGATCACTTCAGAATTTTCTCAGTCGCCTCCTAGGCTTCAAACATTAGACCCTTAGCATCACTGACAGTTGTATGATGCGCCTTGTTTGGGTTCTACTTATCTAGATTTAAATTTGTATTTTTTGTTGTTACAGTCGTAGTTGGCGTTATACTTGACAACTGACAATTTTATTTTATTAAGAATATAAGTGTTGAATTCACTACAAAATGCATTGTCCTTTAAACTTGTGCTAAATTCCAGTTAACATTGTTCAATTTGTTGGTGTCTGGAATCCAATCCTTATTTTAGGATCCGTCGAAAAACTAATATTGGTTTCTACAGTGCGGTTTCTTTCTTCTAGCATCTATATTAAGAATTCTCCCTTTCAATACATAGCATTTAAATAAACATCACCTTAAGATCAGTACATAATGAAAGCTTGTTTTGTCTAGGAATTAGGTCGTGTGGCCATTCTCTAAGGTCACCAGCTGACTAACACTGGACATACTGCTAGACCTCACGTGATTCATGGCTGACAAAACCATATGACATGTGATCTTAAAGTCTTAAAGAACCCAACCGATTCCAGCTTTTTTAAAATAAAAAATCAGTACAAAACAATTGAAAATGAACGTGTAAGCGAATTTTTTAAGTGAATTTATTTACAGTATATCTACTTAAGACACATTGAATAAACTATTATGATAACTTTATCTAGATATAAAATAAAAACTGGTGTGAGTGCGTGAAGGTCACTTACCATACTTACCCATACTTAGTATATGCCGTTTAAAGATTCCTGATATTAAACCGTCACATTTATGAACGGATTTTATATTTTGCTTCATATTCTACTTTGTTAACGATTTTGACTGAAAGCGTCGAAAAAGATCCAGAGTTACTACAGATGTATCTTACAATGAAGTAATATACCTGCATATGAAAGTGACAGTGTTTCTTGAATTATGGGGCTGGTGAACCTCCTCGTCATTTTACTTTTCTTTCGATCACTTTGATTTTGCTCATACGCTTCCTAGGTTACAAAATTTAATGTCGTGGCATCACGGACGAGTTCTTTAAGTATAAAACAGCTATATGACACAGTCTAATTCATTATTTGACTGTACTGTGCCTAATTATGAAGTTGAATTTATAACGAACCGAGAACACGTTAACTAGTCTCTACAATGCAGTCTATATCTTAACATCTCCGATTCATGGAATAGTATTATAGAAACAGTAACGGGGACATAAAAACAGTAATAGTCTTATTGATTTAAAGTGTTTGTTTAACTATTCATGATACTTATATAGTGACGTAATATTCAATTGAAATATCCCTGCACCTGGTTTTTAGATAGATATCGATCACGAACAGCGTATTTTCAGTTCGTTTGCAAATAAAACAAACAAAAAAATAAATAAAATAAGTTGAGAAAAGAAGTTAACAAACACAGCATTGATATTGGCTACGAATTAACCACGAAGTTGAGTACAGAATGGTAACATTTGCTTGACCCGCTGGTTGTTTATAGTATCATAGCTATCAACAATGTGATCTAGACACACGCCTATAATTTTGTACAAGTCTTTACCTATAGATCAGAAGACATTGAAAGTGTTTCTATATAGGGTTCCATTGACCAGTCAAGACCACTTTCTCAGTTCACTATTTGTAAAACACTTTCTACCTTTATTAGGAGTATTGATTTAGGGTTGGAGTAACTACAAATAGATGTTCAAGTACACACTATTCATTCATACATTTGATATGTTGTTGTTTATACAGCATTTTAATTTGTGTGTTTCAGACGGTAACAACTCAATAAGTCAACACACGAAGAGCTGGGCTTCTATGTGGAGTGGGACACAGATCTTCAGCCTTCACTAGGGCCAATAGGGTTTAGCATAGTGGACCAAATATCAGACAAGTGCTTAACTGAAACAAGCTGAGTGCAATGAAAACGTCTCTAGAAAATAATCGAAGGATCGAGAGTCAGAATTTCTCTTCTTCTAAAAAGATTCACAAAAATAAAAACAGAAAGAGAAAAGTATCAGACGAGAAATGTCCAAATGTGTGTGATAATCCCTACGATAAAAGTAGAATTGGCCAATCTAATCCTACCAAAAAGGTTCTGATGATGTGTAGTTCTGTGACAGACACGCACATTGAGACCAGTTCCGTTAATAAACTAATATCACTACCTCCTATAAAACTTAGCGGAATGGAAAACCCTAGTGTTAACCTTCACAGACGGGCTCCGTGCCTTCTATGTGACGTCACAAACAGTTCGAAGTGTTTCCGGAATGTACCTGACAAAAGTTATCGATTAACCAATACGGGCCGAGGTGTATTGGGGAGTAGGTGCCGTGAGCATATAAAAGTCGAGAACGGCTCGATACACGTTAGACTTAGCGATACCGCCGACTACGATACACCTAGCTATAACACAGGTAACCTGCTACCACCTTTGATAATGTCTTCTTTGAAGCTCGACAACAGACATGATATGGCTGCCAATGATCATGTTCGGCACCATCTTAAACGACAGGAACAGTGGATACACACGGAACGTCTCAAGAACTGGAGACGAACAAATGGAAATAGAATTGCAAGGAGACCAGCTTACCAACACAGTTCATCGTCCGGACAAAAATCCGATGTGAACAGCGGCAATTCTGCTGACAGTCTTCATACACAGTCTTCATCATCGTCCGAACCTCATCATCCCGTCGTGGAGGAGATGGACGAGGAGCAGAGAGAGGCAATTGATAAATGTCTTCGATGGATGGAACATCTTCCAAAGAAGTTTTCCGGAATGCATATAATTGTTCCAGCACCGGAAAATACAGACCAATCTTGAGTGCTATGTTAAGCTTACGGAGAACTTGCATTGAACAAAAATACGTTGGAAAAGATTCCAACACAGATTTTGGCCATCTTTGGTGCTGACGGCGTTTTTGCTGGCTTCGACAGCAGAAGCTAGAACTGTTTTTGTGTCTTAAGCTGATTGAGAGACACAATTTGCATGAGTCTTCGTGACCATGCAATGCTGTATTCCGTAACAATACACTGCCTACACCAAATTCGAGATCAGATCTGGTGAAAACAGAACGTATAATGCTACAGATACGTCTACGGAACTTTTGCCAAATATGGAGCAATCAGGACTACGAACCTGCATGCTTAATACGAATATTAATATGTGTTAATAAAGACTTGAAGGACAAAGGACTTGATGTAAAGATGTGTTAAAAGAGGACATGGAGGATGCTAGACTAGCCGTGAATGCGTGTTAAAGAGGATTTTGATGATGAGGAACTATATGTAAATACGTGTTTAAGAGGAGAACGAGGGACTAACTTTATTTATATGTACCACAATGTGTTCATCATACTATCGATAAAACATTCCGCTGCCAACTAATGTGACTTCCTGTTTAGGAAGGACTGAACAAGTGGTGTGTTCCGCACGTGCCAAGACAGGTTGACCACGACGTAGGAGAACTGTCATAGCAATCAGTTTTCTGACAATGCTTCATTAACTATTTCCATTACGTTTGTACACTTAAACTATATGAAATTCTAATTTTCCGTAAAACGTAGATATTTCATTTTTAGAGATAATTTCTGCTTGATTCGAATTCAATACTTTGTCTTGAAATCTAAGCCTTAGAATAACAGGAAATATAATCTGTTGGAAAAAAATGCAAAAATGTCTAATTGAACTTCATTACTTATTTCTGATATTATAAACACTTATTTGTGATCAAATGTCATTGTCATTCATCAAACCTCGGTATGTGCTATTTATCTGTGATATACAAAGATACTGTGATATATGTTATTACCGTTGTATATTAAAACAATCTGGACTATATCAATTTGTGTTCGACTCCGTATCTTTACGCCTGGTGCCTCACGAGATCTAGGTTCATGATATCATGAACGGTCAAAACAAATTGCCTGTAATCTAAACAATGTATCAGCCGAACTCCAGTAGAACAAAACCACCGCTTATGTCAGTTATGTACTAATCACCGTAAAATGTTTAAAGTATCATATTATCATAAATGTATACAGTAGAAACAATCTTGATCTGAAATGAGTTTTTGGACAAATTGTGCGGGGTTGGAACGGGTATGGGAAACAATATTGATATAACCATGGGGAATTTCTACATTAATGATTTGTCTTTTATTGCGATTTGGTTCAAATGTCATAATTATGAGAGAAGGTGTATGATTCTTAGCGTTTGTATCAGGCCAAGTTTGTCATAAAAGTAATCAAACAAATTTGCCGATGAAAACAGCGAGTGACATTTTTGTTTATTATAACACAATCGGTAAGAAACGAACCGATACTACTTAAATAATGTCATTGTACATTTGTGTTGGTTTATCTTTAAAACAAAAATATGGATTACCAATTGAATGTTTTCTCCAAGTAGAGAAAATTACAGATAACACTGGACCAGAGATTCTATATATATAAATGTATCAACGTTAATAACATTCCAATGCTGTCTATAGTTAAGTGTTGGATCGAGGTGTATTACGTTACTGGAATATACATTTAAATTTACCTGTATGGAAAGGCCACAGGTATACCACGGTGTCTTACAACCGTGATTAACCCTTAGCGTCCGTCTGTTTGTAAACAAACAGAAGCCGCACATAAGGTGTCGCCACGGTCGATCGGTCAACGTCAAGGGTGGTAGAAATGTTTATTTGGGATGTCCATCTAGGTGTTAAGTGTTTCCATGGAAATATCGATTTTTGTGCATGTATACAAAAAAGCATTATCACAAGGCAAAATATACGACCAAACGTATGCAGACTACCACTTTTCTATCGAAAACGACAACATCTATTAACCTAGATATCGATCTGTATAAACCTATATATCGACCATCGAACGCTGAAGCGAGAAAACATATTAATCTTCAAAGAGATGAAAACATTGCAGCTCCCTGTGTTTATATAACCAAACAGTTGGACTTTGATAATAGCTTCGCAGTTCCGTATGCATAACTTGTAATTCTTCCTTTCGATTAAAAAAATCAATGTTCTAATGTGCTGTTTCTTCAACCTGGAACGTGGGATCTGTTATCAACTGTAATGATAACCTTTGGTATCACATTTCAAAACGGATTTTTTTCTTTTAATGAATTTTGATATCTGAAAACGCCATCTGAGATAAATTCATCTTTACTTTTTATGATTTTCATTATTATAAAAGGAGAATTATTTTGTACACCACAAAAAAAAAAAAAAAAACATTTCAACAGAATCATAATCGAAATTCACACTCAATAAGGCTTGGCAAAAATATGAATAAGGAAATGTTGACAAAGAGACTCCAGGAACGTGTCAGGAGATTCGAAAGCGTAAGCCACTCATCTTTCTCAATATCCACTGTTTAATACGTAAATCAATCAAACCCTAGCTTCTATTCCGACATTGGTATTTCTGCCCCAAATTCTAACATAAATAACTGTAATTCGTTGATAATAAAATTCTACTTCGGACAGATGTACAAGTAGACCACAGTATGATACTTAAGATCTGAAGAGTCAATGAAGAACATCCAGGTGAACGACATAGACCACTAATATTAAATGATATCTCTTCTTCCTTATTCCCACTGATAAGGTAAAGACACTCCAAATTTTAACAATAATACTTCAGATATATACGTTCACGGAATTTATACGTCTGTTGTATTTAAATCATGGGAATAAACTACAGAAGTGTATTCACGCTTAATTTGAACAAACGGGGAAAGGTGAAGAAAGGGGAACCAGGACATTTTTGTGTTATCATAAATATGTGGCTTTTATTGAGCACCATACATTACTAACTTCATATTAATATGGTTGGTCGGTACTCTTTGGATAAGGTGTAGAAGAGTAAGTCCTATATTTCCATCTATTCGCCCTAAATGTTTGAACATGAACAAATGCCTCTATAATCAACTTGTGGATCTGCTTGGTCTTTTTCGAACAACACAATTACAAAGAAACAGAAAAAGTGTGTTTTACATTCTTTGTTTTAATTGGTCTTGTAGTTTCAAATGAAACACCGTTTCAAAAACAACACAAACCTCTGTTTTATAATATCCAGTCTTTTGACAATGTAAAGGCCTGACACTAGAAAGGGCAGTAAAGAGTTATGCAGTGCGGTAAAGTGAACTGAGTCGTCTGTCGTCGTTAGGTAACCTTTCGTGAGATCGACAGATAATTACACCTATATATGTAGTGTGTTATGCGGTACATTAAGGCCAGCCGGCCTTGGTCCGGGTACAAATACCCGATACACCTGTTCCCGCGTATTCATGGAGCTTTCAGTCAACCAGTCATTGGCTTAATAACTTTCTATTGTCTACGGAAATAATGAGCTCTGATTAAAATGGAGAGAGACGGATAATAAAAGTATTTAAACGGCTCGTTTGTGACTTATCTAAATATCTGTTATTATTTCACTTCTATGCCTTACGAAGGTTTGATTTAATTGGCTGTGCTTGTTTCGTGAGAAGAGGTAACTAAAACTTAGGTAGAATTCCAATTCCATACAGTGTCTTGATATATTGCTATAATAAACCTTGTGTAACTTTGTACCAACCTGGTAGGTCCGAATTCGTATATATTGAACTTACTTATCGATGATTATGTTCAAAACGTTTGTTAAACAGCCTGTTATTTTCTGTAAACGATTTGAAAACTTTTTTCAATAACAACAATTAAATACAATCATTTTACCATAATCATAATCCAAACCTAACTTTATTTAAACTAGGGCAAAATATAAAGAAAAGAAAAAAAATCACATGGAGTATCTCGAAGGACAATGAGAATATAACCAAATGTTCAGAATGAGTAGTCGTCGTCTGCTTCATCGAACAGGCCCTTTAATATCGAATCAGCTGCAAACTGTTAATACCATAGGGTGAGGGTGCAGGAATGTTGCTTTCCAGAAATAGGAAATTCACAATAGGGTAATTGAAACCATTACGCTTATCATATAGCTTGGTGGAAAGCTGTCCATGTTCGTTTCATTCTAAATAAAAAAGACCGAGATAAGTGGCTGATGTAGAAGAGTCTGTTGAGTCCTTGACTTCCAGTTCTGGTAGATATATAGGATGAATGTAATCAATGAATCTCCTGTTATATAAAGACAAGACGTCATCAATATATCTGCAAGTGAAAAGTAAACGACTTGCACGATATTTGTTACCTGTTTAGATAATGTCTTCGATAAATTCAGCCTCGTATGAAAATAAAAACAAGTCAGCCAGCAGAGGGGCGCTGTTAGTTCCTATCAATAGTCTGTTGGAAGAACTCGATGAAGACGTTGTCAACCTGAAACTCGATCATTTTTTTATGATTTCATCCTCCGTATGTATTGGACGTATTTAGTACAGTCCGCAACCATGTAATTATACCTCCGTTCACCTTTCTTGGAAAAGGAAGTTCTTATCAATATCGAAATGTACTATCCATTTTGCAAGATTGTTTCAAATCAAATAGAAATAAACTGCAGTCACTGTACAAGGACAAAAATGAAGTACAATGTTGATTCGAAAGAACACAATATGGAGTAAGTAAACAGAAACTGACAACTGGTTAAGTGAAACAGTGCATTAAAGTCTATGAGTTATTACGTTGTCTAGAATATTTGACATCATAAATATAATAAAACTAGTTTTCCTGCCTCTATTAAGTAAAAAAATATTCTACTACTTAAGCCCGTGGCCGTTGAATGCTAGAGCCATAAGTATTGAAATATTCAATACAATGTGAAAATACAACGTTTCGACAATGCTCTCTTTATCATAAATAGGATACCACTTTTAGAAGTTCCACACCAGTGAATCAAACATTTCGTTGTTTTGAAATGATAATATTTATGTCTAGCGGAATGTTTGTATTTATTCACATGATCTCA